TCTCTCCATCTCTCTTTTTCTTTTCTGTCAGTTTCTCATTCTTTCTTTCTTTCTTTCTTTCTTTCTTTCTTTCTTTTCTCTCTTTCTTCTCTTTCTCATTTTGTTCCCTTTCTCTTCCTTTCCTCTCTTTCTTTCTCGTTCTCTCCCCCTGCCTTTTTCTTATTTCTCCCTCTTTTTCTGTCTCTCCCTGTCTCTCTTTTTTCTTCTCTGTCAGTTTCTCGTTCTCTTTCATAATAACTGAACGAGGTCTCTCCAAGTTTTCTGTATTTTTCTGAAGGTATTTGCCAGTATCTTTATCTTTTTTCTTCTCTTTCACTTTTTCTTTCACTTTCTTTTCTTTCTCTCATTCTCTTTCCTTTGTTTATCTCTTTTTCTACCTCTTCATTTTCTCCTTTTCTTATCTTGCCCTTCCCCTTTCTCTCTCTTTCTCTTCTTTATCCTTCGCTGTCTTTCACATTTCTTTCACATTTTCCATTTTCTCCCTCTCTCTCTTTCTTCTATCTCTCTATTTTTTCTTTTTCCTCCCACTTTTATTCTCTCTCTATCTCTCTCTCTCTCTCTCTCTCTCTCTCTCTCTCTCTCTCTCTCTCTCTCTTTCTCTCTATGGCATTTGCTCTGCAGGGCTAATGAGAACACTGGCTGACCCGTCTCTTTTCTCTTCCCAGTAAAAACAATACAGTGACTCACAGTCAGTCAGAAGTGCCACTCTTTCTCTCTCTCTTTCTCTCTTTCTCTCTCTCTCACTCTCTCTCTCTCTCTCTCTCTCTCTCTCTCTCATTCTTACTGGGGTGAGCCAGCTCTGAATCAGCCATTGCTCATTCAGTGAGGTCAATCCAAAAGTACAGAGCCCTCTCTCTCTACATGTTAATCACATTGGAAGGGTAAAGCAAAGCTCAGGCAGATTGTGAGTAAAGAGACTGAGCCTCAGGTGTGTTTGGACTGGAGTTTGGGTCATGAGTTCTGTTGCTACTGCAAACCGAGAAATCTGTTCACTTGTAAAAGCTTGATTTTTCACAGAACCATGGATGCTCATCGGAACTAGTCTTATCAAACTGCTTTGCTGTAAATATCTAAAGATTTATATTATATTCCAGGATTCCTGTTAGTTGTGTAATAAAATACATTCTGCATTTCCACTGAGAGATGCACAATTCTTAGAACTTACAGAATCGATTAAAGATCAAGCAGCAAAGCACTGTTTCACCTGCTGCTCCAGGCAGTGTCATAGTTCAGACAATTATGTGGCACAGCGTGCCATTGTTAGATACCTCCTAACTCACACGTTCCCTAAGGAGAATTTTAATGGAGCCTCAGCGTAGTCAGAGTAAGCGTTTTCCCAGATTCCAAAACAATGTCGACAAATCCAGAGCAACTTTGACCCTATTTTTGCTGACAGACGTCCCCCCTCACTCTCTCTGTTCTGACTGCAATCTGCATGCCTGGTTATAGACGGCTCTGTCAGGATTCCTGCGTTGGCTTGAAAGCAATTACAAGCTGAATGACTGGGGCTGTCTGTCAGTGGTATATTTGGCAGTGTCTGGCAGCTGATGGTGAATATATCTGTGCTGTTGAGAAAAAGGAGTCTGAATCCAAACATGGGCAGCTTGAGCCAGTGATTCATCCTCATTCGTTAGCGGGGTAGTCTGTTACGACACCTTGTGCTGCGGAGTAATTAAGGAGGTGTCATAAAATGAGTTACTGTTTCAGCTTTTCTACAGTACAGATAAAACCCCCCTCTCCCAAATCTGACAATTAATATGATAATGAACTCCTGCAGAGTTGGAGATTGGAAGAAAGACATGGATTGGATTTTTATCTCAATCATTTATTTATTGACTTTTTTTACAGTAGATTATGATGATTGTTTTATCGATGGGACTTACACGTTTCTCTACATCAGAGACAACATGCTGCTAGAACTTGTTCATGAAGATGTAGATCTGCTGTTAACTGTCTTAAGTACATCATAAGTCCATTAGTGAAATCTGCTCCCATTGCTGACGCAGGCATTCAGCTGTTCTCAGGGTTGGGATATAATGTGGAATACGTACTCAGAATACAGAATTAAGTATCTGTATTCAGTTCAAGTTACATTTTGTAAAGGCAGTATTCAGGATACAGTTAAGTTTTAAATATATAGGAGAATACTTTTAGAATACTTTTTTACTTTTACCCATGAAAATTAAAAAATACATACTGTAAAGATGTAAACAGCTTCTTTACAAACACTGAAGTTCCTGCTAAAGCCTGAGTAGACTGATAAATCAGTGTTAGGAGTTTTTAATCTCAACATTACTGAAGTCTTGATGGAACTGAACAGTCTTCTCTGTAGTGGACATATTCAAGTGATAAGCTTAGCATTGATGTTGAGCTGCACTCATGCATGCGTTTTGTGGCCAGTTACATACATTTCATTAACTGAAAATCACACAGCTACTCACGTTATAGTCACATTTGCAAGATTTTGTAATTGAGATATGGTGAATTGTTTGCTTAGTTTAAGAGATGATAAAGATGATAAAGAGAGGATTGGGGGAGCAGCAGTGGACTGATGCAGATAATAAGAGCCAAAATAATGTTGAGAATTTTGCAACCCCATTTAAATAAGATAATAATTTCTTGAAACATGTTAAGAGAAGATTTGCATGAAGAAAACTGCCAACGAGGAACAGCGAGAAACAGTGTGCATTAAATAAAAATTACAACAGCAGTTTTTCCCATGTGCCTTATCAATATGCATTCTAAATGTATTCTAAATGTATTCTGAATGCATTAATTTTAATGTGTTGTAATGGAATATTTTCCTGAATACATTTAGGACAGTGTATTCAGTATTCAGCCATCACTACCTTTTTAAAGTATTATGCCCAACATTGACTGCACTCATTCAGCTTGTGTAATTTCCTAGTTTGAAATATACTTCGGATGCAAAAACACAAACGCAAATACAGTGTGTTTTTCTTCTAGTGAAGCTGTATCAGATAAAAGAACAAATGTCAGTTTGTTTACATAGAGAGTTTCTTTCGGTCAACAAACTGCCAAATACATATGTACATAATAAATGAACAGTCTGACTGGCTGCACTGCTGTTTGGCATGTATAGTCATATGCAAACATTTGGACGCCTCTGGTCAAGTTGCATGTTGTTGTGAAAACAAGTTACACATCCTCTACAGAGAACACACTCCTGCACATTTTAATGCACACTTACTGTTTATTTGCTGAAGTTAACATATTGGAAAAATAAAATACATAATCTTATGGCACATTTTATATTTTCCACCATAGCAATTGTGCTCTAAACTAAGCTGACATATAAACGTATATCCACTTATTCAGCCTACAGTAGTATAGCTTTGCCCTTTCTCACTGAAGTTCTAAGGGGTGTTTCAGCCTGGACTGCTTTTTGAAGGAGGCAGCCAACAATGAGGCAACAATACAGGGCAGCCAATCAGAACAGAACTTATTTACATACAGTCTAAAAGGGACAAAGACAGCCTGTTGAATTCTAAGGGATAAAAAGGTTGGAAAATGGTCATGTAAAAGTGAATTGTGACTTTTTTTTCAGCGCTGTAGCCGCAACTAGTCATTCTTTCTAACTAAGACCAAGCCAGTTCTGGTCTAGACAGTTTTGCTAGCTAGTTATCAAGCAAACATTATGCAAGTGCTGTATTAACACTTGCTGCTCACTCTCCTGCTGTCTCTGTCACCCCACACACCCCCCCTTCCCATTTGAAAATGATTATGAACAATAACAATGCTAAACATTTTTAGTGAGTTGAAATATAATTGGGTGGGTATTTATATCGTTTATATACCTAAATGCACTGGGATGAGTTAGAGTGGCGTTAATCTTCTCACTAATGCTCTTGGGGCTGATTACTATCAAATCCTCAAATCCTCACAGTGTTCCAATATCTAGTGTAAAGCCTTCTTAGAAGAGTAGAAGCTGTTACTGCAGTAAAGGGAGGACAAACTGCTACCCTTCACTTCAGAAGAAATGTTGAATAAGCAAGTGTCTGCAAACTTTTGTACGTATGGTTTACATTGCAATGAGTGGAACAAGTGGCAACCCACAGAGCCTTAAATAAATACTGTCTAACTGTAGTTGAAGTTCACTTGGCTGATTGCTTAATGAAGGCTCATTTGAAACTTCTCAAGCTGGAGCAAACACCATGCTAGTTGACCTGTCGTCTCCTACAACTCAGCTTCAAAGTGTTGCTCTAAAAATGTTGGTTTTCAAGGACTGGTGTGTCAGCAGAAGCAGCGCTCATGCATAATGCAGCCCTCCTCTTTCAGACATGAAGGAAACGCACCATTCCTCTGCGCTCACAGATCCCTCATGTGTCATAATGATGCTGGGCTGTTTGTGTGAGGTGCTGCTTAAACAGCAAATCCACGCCATTAGAGCCTTTAATATCAGCTGGAACATTAATACATCTGTATAACTTAAATAACAGACTTGTTTTTTTCTCTCTCTCTCTTTTCTCTGCAGTTATTTCATCTGATCTACTTTCCTTTCCGTTCTTTTCTTAGAATTGGCTTTTTTGTCTTCGATCAACGCACTCACTTACTCTCTCTCTGTCTTTATTCCCCCCCATATGTCTTTCTCTCTCTCTTTCTGTCTCACTTGTTCTCTCACTCTCTCTCTCTTTCTGTTTACACTCTTTCTCTTTCTCTCTTGTCTGCCTCTCTCACTCCCTCTCAAATGCTCTTTCGTTCTCTCCCTCACTTTGTCTCTTGCTCCCTCACTTTTGCTCTTGTCTCGCTCTCTCCCTCTCTATTTACACCTTCTGTCGCTCACTCATTTCTCTTTCTCTCTCTCTCTCTCTCTCTCTCTCTCTCTTTCTCTTTCTCTCTCTCTCTTTCTCTCTCTCTCTGTCTCTCACTCACTCACTCACTCACCACTCTCTTTCTCCTCCATTTCCCTTATAAACAGCACACAAACACAACTGTTCAGTAAAACTCTCTCTCTCTCTCTCTCTCTCTCTCTCTCACAGGTATTCAATCTACCCATTCTCTGTGTTGCAGCAATGTGGGATCAGACACCCCAAACCAGCCCCTTTCTTTGGAAACCTGATGCTGTTTCGACATGTAAGGCTGCTTCTGATTCATTTCACATTTTTCTAAAGGACATCGGCTCGTGACACCTACTCCAATTTCCGTGCTGTTGCAGGCTGTAAAAGTGCCTTTTGTATTCCAGAGGCATGAGACATTATTACGAAAATGTTGTTTATTCTGTTTATATATTTATGTTCATGCTCAACAACTTCACGCTCACAGGCGCATGCACACACACACACACACACACACACACACACACACACACACACACACACACAGACACCCCACACACGGCCTCACCACACACCCAAAGGCTAAAAAAAACAGCCTGTTTCTCAAAACTACAGTAACTGCACTTCATTAAATTTGTTCATTAAAGATGGCTCAGAAGTAATGACTTCTAATACCATGTGATTTCCAAACAGATTACTCTTAGTTTAATTGCTTTACTTGTAGGATGAATATGTAAAAGGGGGAAGATGAGTGGGTGGGTTTAATATTACTGAATTAATGCTTCAGCTTTATGCTGTCCTGCATGCTCTTTTTTCTGTGGGACTGTTTGAATAATAAAGAGGCAGCTTTGATTATTCAGGCCCTGAATGTGTCACAGCCACCACATCACATGTAACGTTGCAGCTGACATATCTCTGCCATGCATTTTCATGATGTCAAAGATGCATGATGTCAAATGAAGTTGATTAGTATTAGAGAGGAGAAAATAGACAAGCCTTGAATGCTGTATGCTGCTATCTAGTCTTCTAATGCCAGACATGATCTCATGACGAGAACATATATCTGGGGACAACCTGTTAAAGTACCCCTAAAGCCATAAATTAAATTGGCATATAATTTGTTAAATATTTTATGTATGATTGCTATGTGCATTAAGCTACTAAAATAGCTGTTTAGGCCTTATGGCTAAGCTAACGTTAGCTTATAGTGCTAACAAGAATGCTGAAGCAAAAGTAGCTCAAGCAAAAACAGCATCAAACAAATACACACATTTACTCACTCAGATTTGAGTGTTTATTCTCTATACTTGTGTCACTGAGCCTTCAGTGGGCTGAAATGAACCTGCATGATGGTGTGTTAAGCTTTTTAGGCTTTCTGGCTAAGCTAACGTTAGCTTCTAATGCTAAAAAAAATATTGAAGCAAAGGTAGCTCAAACAGCTCCACACAAATACACACATTTACTCACTCAGATTTGAGTCTTTATTCTTTAAACTTGCTTCAGTGAAGCTTCAGTGAGTCGGAATGAACCTATGCGGTGGAGTGTGGAGCTGTGCAAGCTCAATGCTACCTGCTGCCAAAACAGCTACACACTGTATTCGACAGCTTTGGAATATAGATTTGACACTGTTATAATTTTAAATATCAATATAATTTGTCTTTAAATTATTCTTTATCTAGCTTACTGAACAGTCCAAACATCTTAATGGAAGATACATTAGCACAGCCATGTTCTGTAGCTGTAAGCAAGTTTCCTGTTGCCACGTAATAATCCGCATATTAGCATGTTTTCACCATTTTTTTGTTTTTCATTTTTTAACACAGTTTGGAAATACCTTCTGCCCTTTACAGTATGTTGAAAATTTCACAATGAATGGCCTGATAGAAACAACCTAAAATAAGTTGGAATAAAATCTTTTTACATTAACTTCCATTAAAAGTTACAAACATTTTGTTTCTTCTTCTATGAAGTTACTGTTCTGGAGAGACAAGGTTTTTGTCCGACAGTGATAATATTTTAGTATACTGGTTCAAGCTCATTCAAAAAACAATGAGAAAAGAAATACTAACAGCTACTTACATCAGAACTGCAAGCAGATTTTTTTGTGCACTGAAATGCACAAAACAGTCAGCATTACTCAACAGATCAGAAGGCGACAAAAACAAATAAATATTTTTGTATATTTATTTTTTGTTTACACACCTAAAACACAGTACTTGGTTTGAGAGCAGTCTTAATGTTTGATGCAATTTTACAGGCTTGTAGTTCAGGATTAGTTTGGGTGTAGTTTTTGAGTAGTATTTGAGCTCATTAAGTTTCAAGCAGTCTGTGCTGGCAAAGTAGTGTCGTTTCTCTGACACTGCGTGTATGAAAAATATTATCTTCTATGAATAATATATCTTCTGTCATCACAGCTCTTAACAATGTGTTTATCATGGAAACTCATTGCGATAACGATGAAACTACAATTTATTGTGCAGCCCTACTTCACACTCAGTTTCTGTACAAGTAGTTCTATATTCCAATCTACATTTAGCCTAAAATTTCTCATGGCTGCCCTAAGATATTCTTGTTATGAGAGCATGTCTGGCACTGTGAGACTGTTATCAAGCACAAGGTTTACAAAGACTGATATGTGTAGAAGTAAACTAAACTAAATTTAGCCCCGTAATACGACATGCACAGTGATATCCTGAATGAACTAACACTTATTATTTACTGTGTTTCCTAATGTCACCTCTTGTGGATGTATGAACTAAATTTACTTTCTGATTGCATTCAGCTGCCTATTTGTGATCCATAACCTAACCCCCAAACCTACTAACCCTTTTAAGTTATTATGGTTGTTTATATATTATTGTCATTTCTATACATCTACATGCATACATACATACATACATCATCTAAACCGCTTATCCTTCTGGATCGCGGTGGGGTGCTGGAGCCTATCCCAGCTGTCACTGGGCGGAAGGCAGGATACACCCTGGACAGGTCGCCAGTCCATCGCAGGGCATACATCTACATATAGTTATGTAATGAGTTACATTTATATTCAGTTTACATTCAGTATCAATAGGTTCGATTCTGCACTTCTGCCATTTTTCTATCTAATTCAATGTCAAAAATGACAAAAATAAGGCACAAATTGACAGAATGTTTTTTCGGTAACACTTTGAATGTCACCTTTGTAAGCATCTATAAACATATTTATAACATGTTATAATAAATTCATAAGGCATTATAAACATGGTTATAAATATTTATGAAAAAGAATTACACTGGATTACACTTTATAGCCATGTTTATTATACATTATCAGTTGTTAATATAATGCATTACAAATAGTGTTAATAACATGTTATAATGTCAGTGCCAAAGAAGTCAGTCCCAGCTTGGAGAGTGTAAAGTAAACACAAATACCAAGCTAACGCTGGTGTACATTACCTTTCCCACATTGGGTAAAACACTGATGGCAGCACTAGTTTAAACTCTGCGGTTTGAAGCCTGTAATGTGCTTTATTATGTATGTTTTAGTGTTTCAGTAAATCCTTCAGTAAATACTTCAACTTGAAGCCACACTCTTAACACTGGAGGAGGCTTTAGTACAGTACGCTTCACTTTACTTAGAGCGGACAAATACGACTTATGAGCTCTTATAATTTGTTATGATCAATACTTATAATGCATTAACAATTCATAATGCATAATAAACATGGCTATAACGTATAGTGCATTTTTCTAAATATTTATAGCTATGTTTATAATGTCTTATGAATGTATAATAAAATGTTATGAATGTGTTTATAGATGCTTACAAAGGTGACATTCATAGAAAGTGTTACCAAAATATCTCATCCCCTACTTACAAACACAAATGTGGTATCAACTGAAAGTTTAAGATCCGCACTTTTGACAGAATTTCTTTGCTTTTTTCAGTATATGCTGAGATGACAAATAAATATCAAATTACAGCATGCTTTTGTTACAGCTTCTGAGGGTTAACACTCACCCAAACCTTAAACTTGAGTTTAGCTCAAGCTTAATTCTTTGTTAGGCTGAGAGGAGTTGAAGCAGCTGAAGCAGCTTCTGCTGCTCTTGTGCAGCCCAGGCCCTGATTACATTCACAGATCAATATGTTTCTGTCAGGCAGCCTTGGTGGGCTGGACGGCTTGTCGTTTATGGGCCTCACGTCTCTGTATCTTTCTGTCGCTCTGTTATGACAGGATTGCCTCTTCGTGCTCTGTTTTTTCTTCTCTTTCTTCCTTACAGCTGCCTGTCAGTTCAGAGAAGAGAAGAGCTTTATTGGCATGGTCATTCAGATATAGCTGTCTGTCTGTTTATGGTTCTGTTGGTCTACCTGTCTTACTATCTGTATGTCTATCTCGCTATCTGTATATCCAGTTCTGCGTTTACAGTACTGTGCAAAAGTCAGACACCACCCTTTCATTTATTTAGTGTCCGATCCAAACAGCCATTAAGTTAATAATGAATTAATAAAATTAAGTTAAACTAATTAATTAGCGTAATTAAGTTAAACTAAATTACAACAGAAAAATTAATTACACAGAAGCCTCAACAACTAATTATAATATCAGTTGTTTCAGTATTTAGTGTGTTCACTCTTTACCTTTATTACAGCTTCCAAATTTGTAGGGACATGTTTATACGCCTCAAGTTTAGTTCTAGAAGTTAGTTGCATTTTTTGCTTCTCACTCTCCAAACACATTCAATGTTTTTGAGCTCTGAGATCTACCAGCAGCTTCTTTGTTTCATTTGTAAATTTTCTTTTTTCCTTTTGTATATTTCCTTTCTTTGCCATGATCCAGTTAATCCCAAACACATTCTGTGATGTTAAAGTCTGGGCTCTGGAGTGGTCAGTCCATTGTTCTGAGAACAACAGCAGCTTATTTGTTGAATTTGCATTTTTTTTTCCTTTTTGTCTGTTTCATTTTCTCAGTAACAGCTTTTTGTCAGCTACACATCCTTTCAGACTTCTAGTGCTGAGTTGTTGTGTCACAGTAGAAGGATGGACGGAAACCTGTGGATTTTTTCAGATGTGAAGCAAGAGTGGAGCTTTATTTTCACCCAAAGATGAAAGCTTTAAGTACTGTTTATCTTGGTTGACGTTTTTGGTGGTCTACCAGGTCTTGTGCAGTTGTTAGGGCCCTTTCTCCCTGTATATTTTTTTTTAAATCTCATGTTTTTTCACCTGTTTTCTTTTGTCATTCCCCTTCCTTATGCAAGTGGATTATCTTGTATCTGATATTTTCAGAAACATCTCTTGAAATATGGACAACT